AGTATAAATAAGTATTTATATTTGTGTATAACCTGTTTAGATTGTCAAAAAGCCTGTGTTTTTAGGGTTATTAACAAAGTTCTTGTACTCAGACCAGTAATATTTGGGGTCACAAGTTTTTGCCATGGATAGTTTGTGGGTCAGAAAATAAAAAGTTTGGGAACCACTGGTTTAGGTGATGTAGCCAGTAAAGGTTATCAGCATCTCTGATCAGTAGTCATTCTTCAAGGCATATGTGTCATATGAAGCACCACAGATTTCCCATCAATGTCAGTTCTCATTCTGAAGCTAACAACGTCGTTCCAGCGGTAAATTTGAGCCTCACGTGGGAAAACACTTTTATTTCTGTAAGTTTCAAAAGAGAAGGGGAAAAAAACTAGGAAGAGAACAGAAGCTAAAGGTAAAAAGACAAAGGATGGAAAGCAGGAAGTGTGCAAAGGAAGGAGCGTTGGGAGCCAAACATTATTTAGACTAAATGAGGTCAAGACCTTGAGCTATTCGCTGAATCCCAAATGGCATTTCTTGCAACCGCAGCTCGCTGGGTGTTTATGTGTGTGCGTGCGTTTTCTATCTTGTCAATAGAATACCAGCCGGGTCAATGTCACCCCCCACCGCCCCCCGACTCCTATACTTAAAGGCCGATTTGAGCACTAAAGCCTCTTTTTATTTCCACGTTAATAATGTCTCAAACAACCCGTCAGGGGCTCCTCGGTCTGCATCCACCTGCGTCTTCCTCTCTGCACGCGTCCCCTTTTCTCCCTATCCCCCTCTTTCCTCCTCGATAAACCCAAGGGCAGTAAGGTCACTGAAAAGCAGACCTTGCGCCAACTGCGTCTTCCTGTATTCTCGCTTCAATCGGCCACCTCCTATCAGTTGCCTTGGAGACAGCCAGCCAATGAAAGAGCAGATCATAGAACTCTGGGGTTTGGTTCATTTGGACTGCAGTACTGTCTAAACATGACAAGCAAACACACATTTTTATTGCGCGTTTTTGTCTTTTGTTTACAATTCTGAAACATGAGCCCAACCTGTTTCATATTAACACAGTTATTTATTGTTTGTTAGAAATACATACTTCAAACCATGTTAGAAATATCTGTTTAGGCACATCTTTATTATACAAGCAGTAGTCAACAATGTCCTACTTCTAAATGCTGCTGTTGAGGCCAAAATTGCAAATGTAACTAATAGATCGTGGTTATCAGGGGTTTTGTCACAGTGACACAAAGAAATCCACTTGCAGTACCACAGTTATGTGTGAAAATAATGTCTCTTCATTTTGGGTCCTGTTTGTCTTAAAGGGAACTCCAGCTTGTTGTAACATTAGACATTGTTTGATTACTTTAACTATAAAAATGAGACTGTAACAATACGGTAGGGTGCTTTGTTTTATCTATAATGTCATATTTGTGACAAAAAGAAAAAAAAATTTCCAGCTCTCAGTTCATGAGATTTTTTATTATTATTATTATTTTATTTGTGGAGTTAAAAAATACAAATACTGCAAAGGCCAAGAATTACAAATGAAACTGAGGTGTCATATTTGGTTTTTGCCACAGTATTTTCAAAGAAACCTTGCTCAGAGTCAGAACGTCTAGCAGTGTTGTAAAAAATAACATGTCTGTTTCTGTCAGTGCAGTTTTGTGTTAACTGTACCTGATTACTGTCACGGAGATAATAAGAATACTTATTAATCAGAGGTGCTACTCAAAGAGAGAGAGAGTGTGTCCGTATCAGCTGTCACTTTTTGAGTCCTTTGTTGAATTTAAAAAAAATTCCCGCTATAATGCAGAGCTATAACTAAGTAAAACATCAAAAGATTGAGCGCAGCAGAAACTTTAATTTAGCTGACTGTCGTTTTTCTTATTAAGATACATTGCATTTCAATGAGGAATTGGATGCGACTTATATTTTAGAGTTTAATAATTTTATTCAAACGTTGTGGGTTGAGACATGGACAAGCCTTGAGTGTGTGTCTGTGTCTGTGTGTATATGTTTGTGTTTGATTCAAGTGCTCAATTAAGGAGCAAAAATATCTCTGCTCCACTTACTCCAACACCTGTTTCATCTGTTTATTGCAACTTTTTTTGTTTTCTGACTTTAGTTTTCCTTTCTTTTCTTTTCTTTTTCTTTCTTTTTTTTTCTGTGACAAAGAATGATGTTTGTGTATTTTTTGCTCTTGTCTTTGTCTCCAGTTAGTGGGCTTCATCTACGCCTGTTACGTGGTCAAGCTCATTTCTGAAGAAGAAGATAGTTGTGAGTACACAGTTGCACATGTACACAAGCACAATGCTGAAACGCAACAAGAACACCACCCCTCTATGTATTATTTTACACATTTAAAAAAAATGTCCATTACTAATCATATAGGGTTCAGTGCATTCATCCTTTCATTCTGTAATTCTTATCTTGTCAGAGGGTAACAATCTGAGCAGAGAGGCCTTGATTTGGAAAAGGATTTCTATCTTATTGCCCTTCAAACACATTTCATAGGATCACAAGCACAAACCTCTCCATCATAACAAAAAAGAAAAGAATTCAGGCTTTTGCCGTCAAAGAAAACCAAAATTTGTTGATGATGGGTTCTTTTTCAATTCAGTTTCATCATCTAAACACAATATTTTGATATCTTATATAAATAATACCAGTTCTTATTATCTTGAAATGAAAAAATAAAGTAAAATTGGCTGCGTTATAGGGCTTCCATGATTAGTCGATTAGTCGACGACTAATCGATTATTAAAATAATCGATGACTAATTTAATAATCAATTAATAATTATTTTGTTCGTTGTTTTTCTCTCCAAACTGCTTTGACACCTTCCACTGCCACATCTGCCTTTCTGTCTTTGACACACATGCGCAGTAGTGGTAACTGAGGTAGGCCGTGGACGTCACAAGACATTATACAGACAGGCTCTGGTATCATGGCTACCTGACAACGGAGCTCAAAAGTGTGGGATCATTTTAAGAAAATGAAGAGAAACCTGTGTAATATCTGCAGGGCAGAACTTGTCTTCCACAGCAATTATTTTTAGTTAGCATATAGCTAAAATCTAACGATGGTTATATAGTAGCAGCTGCATTCTGGCACGATAAGCTGTATGTTTTATATTCAATTAACGTATGATCCGATTAGTCGACTAATCGAAAAAAATAATTGGTGATTAATCGATTATTAAAATAATCGTTTGTGGTAGCCCTACTGCGTTAGAGCATTTTTTGTATGTTTGCTGAGTTTGATAAGCTGTGGCAGCCATTTTTAATAAGGTTGACTCTAAACGTTGATTAGTTGTAGAAGTACATTCAATATTTACTTTCTGAAAGTATCTTCAAAGTTAGTCATGCAGTTCATTTGATATTTGGTTAAAATAAACACTCGTCCACATTGTGGCAAGAAATAAAAAATGTGTATTAATTTATATTCATCCCTGTTCTGATGGAAGATGCAGGATTTTCCAAACCCGTAAATCAACAGATTTATCTTRAAGCACATTTTCCTTTCAAGTCTCAGTTCCGGGCTTCACCTTCTTGTCCTAATTTGTTTCCCGTCAGTTTTGTGAGGGTGGTGCTGGCTGAACGGAGAGGCTTCAAACTGTCAGTTTATGGCTGAAAACAATGACTTTGTTCTGCTTTAGTCTGTGTGATTATCTCTGATGTGATGAGTCAAACTGTCAGCTGTGGGGAAAACAAATGTCTGACATGTGGAGCTGCCAACAGAAAGGAAACAAAAGCTCAGGTGTGAACCAAAATATTTAAACGTCATGATATAAGAAAGGTAATTTCATCTTGACGTGGCTGATACGGATGAGCACTTTATGCCAACACATGCTCTTATTAGTCGTGCTAAAATCACTGCAGTAGAAGTACCTGAGGCAACAGTGCACAGGATGGGCTTATTGTGTTTGTGAGATTGCAGTGTGTTTTGAATGGAATAATTTAACTTAAACATTTTCCTAAAATGAGTGCAGGTTAGCAGGATGTGTTTTCTGTAAAACTGTTTGAAACTGAGGCAGGAGACATTCTTTTCTCAGTACTTTTCATGCTGACTCTTATTAGTCAGATTGAGCATGGTAATGCTCATGGAATAACGGCTCTGTACAAGCTAAGACTGGTTCACTTTTATTTCCTGTTTGCCACTGGGTGCAAAATGTCCTGGAATAAAGGCTTAATTTGCAGCACGAAGGACAAACGTGTGGAAGCAAGTCAAGAAACTCCATGACAAGTTTGCTAYTTATTATTGCTTATTATTCAAATATAAATAAATGTTAGAAATAGAATCTAAAAAGCATGCAAAAACTAGCAGTTCACTCACCACTTGAGCTTCTTTAAGAAGTGCCTCTAGCAGGGAAGGAGGAATTGGAAGCGTGTGCAGGCGGCCTGGATATGCAACAGAAGCTAAGCTAAAGCTAAGCTAACAAATGTCGAGTGTGGGAAGATTCTTACCAGAAGGACGATTGATCGACGATCAGAGCGTCATTAAGCGCATTGTTCACGCGCGCATTACTTTGTAG